GGCTTTACATAGAGCTTGGACATGGCTCGCGGCGAGTTTTCAGTTTCCCTTCATGCTCCAAGCTGCACCCGAAGCTTAAACCCTAAATCCTAAACCCCCAACAAGCCCTTTATACCTATATATGAAAGCCCGCTAGCACTCCCTGGCCCTGCACAAAACATTCCTACAATTCTTCTGTAAGGCCCTACATTGAAAACCCCTATCTGCAAAGTTCCAAGGCAAGCACAAACAGCGCCGTTTTGGGCCTATGGAGTTTCGGGCCCTTAGTTCTCCAATACCCAACCTTCAAACTTCTTGGGTGTGTATGTATAAAGATATATATATATATATATATTTATTTATTTATTTATTTATTTATTTATTTTTAAGTTGTAACCTGAAAGTTCAAACTTTGATTTACCTGGCTTATTGGGGAAGTACTTGGAGGGTCGGGGACTTAGTAGGTAGGTAGTAAGAAGACTTATAAGTACCCTAAACGGGACCCTAATTAGGGTTATGGTACTTATAAGTCCGTAAAACAACCAGTTACTAAGTCCCCCGACCCTCCAAGTAAGGGCTCGTTGGGAGGGCTGCAGGGTTCGAGACGGGCCGCCGTCCAGAAGGGGCTTGTCTGGAGCTTCGGTTGATGATATAAATCCTGTATGACCCATAATAAGGAATATACCATAATTCCCATAGTTTAGGGTCCTTAAGGTAATGCAGGATTTATATATATCATCAACCGTTCTACGTCGGTTCCACCATTTCGACCACGTTCAGGCGAAATCATGTAGACAGTAGCCCATATACATATACATACATGTATATGCAAATTCGTAGCCCAATGAAACACGGTAAACAATCCACGCACGGACGTTCAACTTCAGATTGATCCTAAGGATGTCCCGGAGAAAGGTAAACTGGATTGAAGCCCCCTCCAACGCTGCTGTAGCTCTTTTCTTGTCAACTGCTCAACCAAGCCCTGGTGGTTAGTGGTTGGGCCCTAAATCCTCACGCATGAAACCAATCGCTGTGATTACTAAGGTCTTCTGCTCCAGAGATCATGTTGTCGCTTAACGACATCATCAAGCGGACCTTCGTCCAGGGAAAGCTTGGAGCATCGACCATTGCTACTTGGGAACATCAGAAAGTTAATAATTGGGTTGCTGCTAAAGGCTCTGAATGAAGCCACGATACTGAGGAAAACCAGTATTTACTATATGTCGCCATTATGGTAACTTAATTAAGAGTTCCTGGAAAGCAGCCAGTTAAGGGGCCGCGGGGGGTGGAGTCGATTTAGGGTTGAAGGTCGCAGCACGTGGGGTGAAGGCATACTTACCCCAAGGCTCCATGTACCGTTATAGTAGATACTTAGGCCTTAAAGTACCTATATAGGGACTGCTTTGGGGCTTAAGTATCTATTATAAGGGTACATGGAGCCTTAGGGTTAGTGTCCAGGTCTTAGGGCAGGGGGCGTTCGGAAGGATAGCTCGTATCATCTAATTATCCCGTCTGGGTTTGTGGCATAGCGCGTCGCATCCGAACGATAGCAGATCCACCGACGAACAACACTACCCTAAAGCCACAGCCTCGATTCCCTAAGCCCCCAGCCTAAACCACCCAAACACGAAAACCCTTCTAGAGCTGTCCAAAAGGAGTACTTGTAGAAACCCTATGGCATCTTCATCCTTCATAAACATTTCTCTGTAGTCGGCCATTGCGTGCAGATCATGCAGGTAATAATGGCCCTGATAGTCTTATCATGAACGGTTGCGGCCCTGATATCCTCCCTAAACCCTCAACCTTTAAACTTAATCATTCAAACCCCAATATTGAATCGGCAGGCCTTACGTCCTGACCCCCTAAACCCTCAACCACAAACCCAGACTTAAGGAATATATGGCAGGATCCCTAATAGGAGTTGCGGTATATTCCTTAATAAAGGGATTTTATGGAAGGTCTTGGAACCCTTAAGCCCTACTTGGTGGGTCGGGGGACTTAGTAAGTAGGTAGTAAGTAGACTTATAAGTACCCTAAAAGGGACCCTGATTGGGGTTATGGTACTTATAAGTCCCTAAAATAACCAGTTACTAAGTCCCCCGACCCTCCAAGTAACCCCGTTCGTCTCCTAATCCCAAGGGTCCAAGTACCTAGTAATCGTATACTCTCCAAAATCCTAACCGACAGGGTTAAATTAGGGCTTGTGGGGATTTATAAGGAGTCCCCTTAATGGGATCTACAAGTTCTATCAAAGTGGTTTAGGGTTTTTTGGGTTCACCCTAAGGCTCCTGGACCCTCGTAGTGAAATCCCAAACCTTAGCCCCCAAAGCCCAAACCCTTCCCCCAGAAAGCCCATGACCACTTTGGGAGCCTTAGGGTACTCTCCAAAATCCTAACCGACAGGGTTAAAAACAAAATAACTACCATCCTGTTCTATACAAGGTGTTTAAGGCTTAGGGGTTATGAGGGGTTGAGGGTTTTGGTGGTTTGGGGTTTAGGGCTTACCCTAAGGCTCCTGGACCCTCGTAGTGAAATCCCAAACCTTAGCCCCCAAAGCCCAAACCCTTCCCCCAGAAAGCCCATGACCACTTTGGGAGCCTTAGGGTACTCTCCAAAATCCTAACCGACAGGGTTAAAAAACAAAAACATCCTAAAACCGACTACCTAATTTTTGGGTCCTTTGGACCCTTGGGGTAAGCCCTAAGCCTAATCCTTTTAAGGCACCCTAAGCCCTTGGAGTAGACCCCCTAATCCTTTTAAGGCACCCTAAGCCCAGGTTGGATCCGCAGCATTCAACTTGTTTGTCATCGTTGCCGTGTGTATCAATGCTATCCCTGCAGGCTCAGAGTTCAGGGTTTAAAGGGAACTCCAGAAAGTTGGAGTATGAAATAATGGCAGGATCCCCTATAATTTACCTTAGAGGGATTATGATAATGATATTCCAACTTTCCGGCTTCTACTGTAGGGACCCTAAAACCTTGAACCCTAAACCGCTTATCAACCCCTATACCCTGAACCTCTAAAACCTAAACCATCTTAAACCCTAAACCCAACGCCATAAACAAAAAAAATAAAAAAAAAAAAAACCTTTTAAACCCCAAACCCCTAAACCCAAAGCCATAAACCCCTACTCTCTCAACCCTTCTGGGTTCAAGGCTTGCCTTATAACCCCAAATAGCCTACCTTTTTAAGGACTTATATAAGGAAATCATAATAGGGAGCCCCAAAAAGGGTAGCTTCTTTGGGGTCCAGGTAGGAGATCCCAATAACCCCTAATTCAGGAATAGACCTTAAACCATCATATGAAGGCCCCTATAATTTAAGGTATATTCCTTCAATAAGGGATATTGGGATCCCTGAGAGGAGATGGAGGGTTCAGGGTTCTAAGGCGCGAGAGTTGTTGATAATATCGGTGCCCAAGGTTTTTTAATGAGGGGTTCGGGTTTGGGGTTCAGGGTTTCGACTGGGGCCTAGACCTACCAGGGTTGTTTATTTTCACTGCTTATATAGATTTCAATTACGGCATGGGGCTTAATCCCGTGAATTTTGTGCACAGTTTGGGGTCGGGTGACGGGGTGTAGTCAATGAGTTTATCAATCGACACCGCAACGCGACGCCAGTGGGAGCTGCACAGCCAGCCACCGGCTGCCCCACCGGCCACGGAGGCCCCAGCCGCGGCATCGGTTCTCGCCCCGTTGCCGGCGGACCGGCCGCCCAAGAACTTCTTGTCGACGCCTACAACAAAACCCTCTTGGGCGGCGAGCCGAGGGAGTTTCCCACCGTCCGGCTCCTCGGCGCGGAGGAGGTCCTGGCGCGGCTCTATTGGGAGCACACGGCCAAGAAGCTCTACACCGCGGTGGGCATCGGCGAGAGCCTCGCGAAGCGGACTTTCTCGTCGCTCGGCGTTGCGAACCGCTCACGGCCAAGACTGCAGTGCCGACAAGCCCGACAAGCTGAGCATGTTTATAGGGACCAAATGAAGCCTGTAAGGGCTTCAGGTTCAACTAGGGATTCATAGTCATAGCACAAGGGTATAGGGCCCACACTCTTATGATGAATGTGTCAGTATGAGGATCGTAGGATCCGATGATATATACGTCCTGCATTACCCATAATAAGGAAGATGTCATTATTCCCATGGTTTAGGGTCCTTAAGGTAATGCAGGATTCATATCATCAACCGTAGGGGTTAGGGTTTAGGGCTTCAGGTGTTTAAGGGTTTGTATCAGCAGTCACTGCGGAGGATCCGGGCGAGATGCACGAAGGCTTAATGATTTAAGGGCTTCAAGGGAACTCCAGAAAGTTGGAATATGATTATCCTAAACCCTTTATGGTAAATTATAAGGTATCCTACCCTGAAGCCATATTCCAACTTTCAGGAGTTCCCTTTAGGGGTTTAGCGTTTAGGGGCTCAGAGCCTATACTAGGGGCCCTAATAATAACTACCTATGCTATTTTGGTGGCTTCAAATTTTTGTATAGTGTAATGAGCCCCAAAACTCTATTCTAATTACTATAAGCCTCCTATAGTATGCAGTATATACTCTGGCTATTTAGGCCTTCATACTGCGCAGCCGGTCACTCCTTCTGCAGTTTTGCTCTTGAAGCATGGCACCAAGCATCGACCAAGTACCTTACAGACCAAACGGACCATAACAACTGAAAGGGTTTGGCGTTCATGAACCTTTATAGGGATTTATGGCATAAGGGTATAGGTTCCCTACTATTTAAGGCTCATGCTGTCCTTTAGGTACATTGGAAACTCAGCGCAGTGTGCATCAGTCGCACCAGAACCCGAGCCACTTGACCGAACCGCAATCTGCAGGACGCACCTAAAACCCGAAAGCCATTAACTTCCTTTTACCCGGAATTTTTGGAGACCCCAAACCCTAAAAGGAACCTAAGGTTACTCCTAAGCGTCCAAGTACCGAGCAGTCAGATACGCCACCTTGTCCAATTTTCCTGCACTCCGGGGTTAGATTAGAGCGCGGGACATCGAATCAACAGTGCGCCGTAGCGGCCATGGGTGTCCCCGTCACCGAGTACCTGCCGGCAGCTCCTGATGCGGACGACCTGGGCCGATATGGCCAAGAGAAGGACTGGACTTTCGAGGTAATTCGTGTTTAGGGTTCTTTCAATTTAGGGTTCAGTAAATTAGGGGTTTAGGGTTTGAGGGTTAGGGTCTAGCGTTTACATTAAACGCTGCAGAATCCTTCCAGACAGCCCTATCGTAGACGCCTGAGTAGCTATTTAATTTCTTAAAGTTCCTAAGTTACAAGAATGTAGGACAGACGCAACTATGTACCTCGGACCTGAAGCCTTTTCTGCTGCTTGTCTAGGCCCCTATGTCATAACAACCTTATAATTAGTAGTAGGCCTTGTAGATCAGAACCCTTTCAAGAATCCCTTAACGACACCCTTGAACCCTTACACTTGGAAGGTCAGGGGACTTAGCAACTTAGTAAGTAGGTTATAAGTAGAGTTATAAGAACCCTAAATGGAGTTACCCCAGTTATAACCCTACTTATATCCTACTTACTAAGTCCCCTGCCCCTGTCCGCACACCCTAAACCCTAAACTCCATGGATCCCGTTAAGGAACCCTATAGATCTCTTTGAGGAGCCCTTTAAGAGCCCGTACTAAGTCCCCTGCCCTCCAAGTAGACACACTGTAGACTGAAAAAACATCCTTGTTTGAGCCTATAGAAAATTCCTAACACTGAAACCCGAAACCCTAAACCCTAAACCCGCAAACACCCTTACAGGATCCGTTCGAACGCTTTCAATAGGCCTAAACCCTAAACTCTACAGGGGTGATTGTCAGAATTGTGGTCCCTTTCTGGGTACCATAAAGTAGGTGCCGGATTATAATAAGGACCAAAAAAGGGACCCTAATGTTGACAACTACCCAAAGGAACCTGGTCTAAACCCTGTCAAAAGCCTTAGAACCCCAGACCTTCCAAAACCCCTTAATTAAGGAATCTACCTTAAATTATAGTAGGATCCTTAATATGATTTAAGGGATATTCCTTAATTAAGGGATTTTGGAAGGTCTGGGACCAACCCGAAGCCGCCTTAGTTCTTTCAGGACTCGCTTGAGAGTGCAGGGAAGCAGAACACCCCGGAGTATCCCAGCTGCAGGTTTAGGGTTCAGGGCTAAGGGCGAAGGGAACCCTGAGATAGATCCTTTGTATTTGTTCTGGCTTCTGCATTTCGGCTTCCCCCCTGAGGTTTTGCGCTTTCTGCATGTTATGATGTAACTGTAGCTCCAAACCCTACAAAATAGTAGGCGACGACTCTGAGTGAGAAGGCATCACCCTTAAAGCAGTAGTAGGGATGTAGGATCCCCAGCTAGGGTTCAGGGTTTACTGACCTCGCAAACTTAAGCCCTGAACCCTAAACCCTAAAACCCCAAACGCTAAACCCTACTAAACCCTACTAAACCCTAAGCCCCTAAACTCTAAGCCACAGGGGCTTTGAAGTCAGGTACGCCGTGGCGCTGACCAACTGGGCAGCCTGTTTGGGAGCGCAGGGCGATGAGGAGGAGCGCTTGGGCTTAGGAGTTGCTTGGAGGGTCGGGGGACTTAGTAACTGGTCTAAGGGTATCCTATAAAGGGTTTAGGGTATAGGGTTTTAGGATTTAGGGCTTCGAGTCTTAGGGTTTAGGGTTTAGTAACTGGTTATTATAGGGACTTATAAGTACCATAACCCCAATAAGGGTCCCTTTTAGGGTACTTATAAGTCTACTTACTACCTACTTACTAAGTCCCCCGACCCTGCAAGTGAGGGTTAAGGGTTACAGGAGCACACCTTGGCGTCCTTTTGGTTGGCTCTTAGGACTTAAAAGTTAGGGCTGAGGGGACGAGGAGTTTAGGGCTTAAGGCGGCTTAAGTAAGGGTTCCCCCGACTAGCAAAAATACCTTAATTAAGGAATATAGCTTAAATCATATTCGGGATCCTACTATGAAGGTATATTCCTCAATTAAGGGACTTTAGAAGGTCTTGTCTGGGTTGAGGGTTAAGGGCTACAGGAGTACACTATAAGGGTCCTTCGGTTGATGATCGTGACTTTTCAACAAGCCCGGCACGAAGTGTCTATCTGACAGCCCTGACTAAAGTCCATTACCTACTTAGAGGATCATGGGACTTAGTAAGTAGGTTATAATTGGGGTTATAAGTCCCCTAACTGGGGTTATCCTAATTATAACCTGCTTATATAACCTTACTTACTAAGTCCCATGAGCTTTCAAGTAGAGGCTCCATATATAGTACCATTGTGGGATTAGGTCCCTAAAACCGTGATAGGGATGGTCTTGCGGGGCTTAATTCCATAATGGTACCATGTATGGAGCCTCTGGGTTAAGCACCCAAAACCCTGAGCCCCAAGCCCCAACGTTGACAATCAACCGCTAGCCCTAAACCCTAAAAGCGGCCATATCATAGGAGGCCAAAAGGGGTTTTAGCCTATGGGGGTTTAGCAGAGATTAGGGTTCCCATAGTAGGGTTCATAATAAGGAATCCCTGCCCCAAGAATCTTAAACCCCCCTTTTTGGCCTCCCATCACCATATAGAGACATGCATAGAACTCTTACAAAGAGACCTTCGGGATTCCTTGAAGCCCATAAAGCAGAAAGCAATCGTAAGATCCGTTTCGAGGCTGCTTTGAGGGCGTATTCGGCGGCGCTGATAGCACACGAGGCCTACGCTTTACGGTTTGGGGTTTAGGGCTTGTGGGGATTTATAAGGAGTCCCCTTAACGGGATCTACAAGTTCTATCAAAGTGGTTTAGGGTTTTTTGAGTTCACCCTAAGGCTCCTGGACCCTCGTAGTGAAATCCCAAACCTTAGCCCCCAAAGCCCAAACCCTTCCCCCAGAAAGCCCATGACCACTTTGGGAGCCTTAGGGTACTCCCTAAAGCCTATCTAAACCCTAAATAAACCCTAAACCTTGTAGATCCCTTTAAAGGACCGGGGTTTAGGGTTTGGGGTCTTCGATGTCCTTCTGGTTTTGATTCAACCATTTCGTTTCGGGTAGCATCTTAAAGGGAAGTCCAGAAAGTTGGAATATGGTTTCAGGGTAGGATACCCTATAATTTGCAATACAGGGTTTAGGATTATCATATTCCAACTTTCTGGCTTCTACTTTATGCTAAGTAAACCAGGCAGCCAAACAAGGGAACTGCTGTGGAGACTATAAACCGTGCTAGAGCTAAACCTTAAACCCCTGACCCTTCAAACCCTTAAGCCCCTTAATCCTTAAACCCCAAACCCGCTTAGCCGGTAAACCCAAAGGGACCCAACCCCCTAAGCCCCCTAAACCCCCTGAGCCCTAAACCCTACATAAACACCTGAACCCCCTAGGCCCTAGCCATAAACCCTTAACCTATAGTTAAAGGATCATGGAGCTTAGTAACTAGGGTAATAAATAAGGTAACTATACTTATAATTACTTATAACCCCAATTAGGGTACCTATAACCTTAATTACTTACTAAGTCCCATGATCCTCCAAGTAGGTAAGGGAGGCTCTTCGCGAATTAGGGTCCTGGTTGAACTTCCGGCGGAATAAGTTTAGTTTAGAGTTTCGGGATCAGGGTTCCGACTCCGGGTGGTTGAGTGCTTAGGGTTTAGGGTTCAGGGTATAGTGAGTAATGGGAGCCAGAGGTAGTGCAACCGGAACCCTAACCCAAAACCCCTACTTGGATCGGCAGGGGACTTAGTACGTAGGTTATAAGTAGAGCTACGAAAAGCAGAACTGATTTTGCATCTGTTGCAGCCTACCAATGACAGTGCGTAATCACCTGTTTCTAAGGTGTCTGGAGTCAGGGCACACAACACAATAAGTCACTCCACCGACAGTCAACTCTACAGTCAACACTGCCAAAATGCTGGGACATCGAACATTTTGCTGCCCTAGACATTAAAAAGCTACAAAACCCTCTATATCCCAAAAGCAGCACATACATGCAAAATGACAGTCAACACTCAGTCAACACTATACAGTCAACACTGCCAAAATGCTGAAAAAATCCAGCATTTTGCTGTTTCGGACATTAAAAAGTTGAAAAAGCTTATTTATTGCTTTAAAACGAGTGAATTGCGGAATTTGCTGGTTTTCCCAGGGTTTTGGTAGTGTTGACTGTAGTGTTGGCTGTAGTGTTGACTGAGTGTTGACTGAGTGTTGACTGTTGTTTTGCATGTATTTTGAGGCTTCCCGGGAATGCACGATTGCATCCCAGCAAAATTAAAGTCGTTGAAGCCGCGGGAACGATCCAGAAGCCATGGCCAATCACTCACGCTCGTAAAACACCGGCAACACTCCTAAGGGACTGTATAGGGTGCCTAAATGGAGTTACCCCAATAACAAAGCCTACAAAGTCCCCTGCCCCTTCAAGTAGAACCCTAAAGAAGCTGTTGAAGAAACCCTCAAGGGCATCCTTACAGACTTGTCAGAGTATAAGACCCTACTTAGAGGATCATGGGACTTAGTAACTAGGGTTCTAATTAGGGTAACTATACTTATAACCCCAATTAAGGGACTTATAACCTTACTTAGCAAGTCCCATGATCCTCCAAGTAGCCCCTAAACCCTAAACCCTATAGATCCCTTTAAGGAGCCCCTTTAAGAACCCTTTAAGGAGCCCTTACTAAGTCCCATGATCCTCCAAGTACAGCACCCTCTAAAGCTGCATGGGAGCCCGAAGGATCCTTCAAACCCGAAGCGGGACCCTAAACCTACCTTAGCCTACCAATCCCTACTTTTTTGTAGGTTCTTATTATGAACCCTAATATGGAGTTTATAGGGACCCTACAAAAGAGTAGGGTTTGGTAGGTTAAGGTAAATCCTAAATCCTAAACCCTTCCCCCGACCCCCGGGAGGATCTAGAAAGTAGACTTAGTAGGGTTCCTTAAAGGGCTCCTTGATGGGATCCTTTAGGGTTTAGGGTTTGGGGCTCTATAAGGGGAAGTAGATCCCTTAAACTTGGGGCGCTATACTACTAAGGGTATTCTATAGGAACCCCCATTAAGGGATCTACTTTTTGGATCCTTTCGGGGGTCTGGGTCAAAGGAACCATGAATCCTAACCCCTAAACCCTATTCCCTATCCTTTAAACCCTAAACCCTACACCCTATACCCTAAACCCTGTTATTCCCTATTGCCTAAACCCTGAAGCCTAACAGGAACCTTAAAGTCATGCGCCCAAGAGCGAGGCTGCCGGGTCAACTGACACACCCTCCTACGCGGACACCGTGGTGAACGTAGGCTTGGATTTGTGGGTGTCGTGACGTTTCCTTAAAGGGATTTATAGGGTTCCTTAAGTAGGGATCTATAGGGCTCCTGAAAAGGGATCTATAAGGGATTTGTGGGTGTTTTGGGGGCTTAGGGAGTACGGCTTAGGCTCCCAAAGGACTACCCTAAAAGCTTAGGGTTAGGGGTTCCTTTAAAGGGATCTATAAGGGTTTAGGGTACTTTATTTAGGGTTTAGATAGGCTTTAGGGGTTTAGGGAGTACCCTAAGGCTCCCAAAGTGGTCATTCGCTTTCTGGGGGAAGGGTTTGGGCTTTGGGGGCTAAGGTTTGGGATTTCACTACGAGGGTCCAGGAGCCTTAGGGTACGGCTTAGGATCGAGGACTCTTTCTAAGGGCTCGAGGTTCAGGATGGTTTAGGGAGTACTTAAAGGATCATGAGACTTAGTAACTAGGGTTATAAATAAGGTAACTATACTTATAATTGCTTGTAACCCCAATTAGGGTACTTATAGCCTTACTTACTAAGTCCCTTGATCCTCCAAGTACGGCTTAGGAACCAAAACCCTTAACCCAACAAAACCCAAACCCTAAGCCCTCAACCCCTTAGGGTTTAGGATTTTCAGCTTTGAGGGCTAACCTGTCAATTAACTTCGGGGCGAACGACCATGCTCGAAAGGGATCTATAAGGGTTCCTTTAAAGGGATCTATAAGGGTTCCTTTAAAGGGATCTATAAGGGTTTAGGGTTTAATTAGGGCTTATATAGGGTTTAGGGTATATCTAGGGTTTAGGGGGTTCTTACGCAAGTCTCAACCTTAGGGAGTTTCATGAAGCTTGCTCGGTACGATGAGGCCGAATAACCGAAAAAACTTAAACCCTAAAGCTACCACGAGGACGCCTTAACAGGCAGCTTCTTCAGGTTTGACTGCCGCCCCGAGCCTTGAAGCCTAAATGCTAAAAGCCCCAAAAACCCTGAACCCTATACCCTGAACCCTGAACCCTAAACCCTGAACCCTAAGCCCTAAACCCTGAACCCTGAATCCTGAGCCCTAAACCCTGAACCCTGAATCCTGAGCCCTGAAGCCTAAGCCCTGTACCTGAAGTGGCGAAGGCGATCACCTCAACGAACTCGGTCGCCACAGCGAGGCCATGGAGCTGTTTTCCAAGGCCGGGGTAGGCTTCCACAGGGTTTGGGGGTTTGAGGGTTTAGAGTTTAAGGTGTGGGGTCTACGGTTTGGGATCGAGGGTTTCGGTGTAGGCGCTCGCTATTTTGCTATCCCTCTACCCTGCCCCTAAGGGCTCAAAATAGCCCAAAAAATCCTATAATCGTCTTTGGGCCCAAAAGCCTTAATATATGAGCCCTTAGAGCCTTAGGGTGCATACTTCCCTGCTCCAACGCAGGCACGGGAAATCTACCAAGCCTTGAGTTGGGAGAACACTCTGCGGCTTGGACCCGACCTTGGGATCCACTTGGAGGGTGTTGGGACTTTAGTTTAAAGGGGATTCTAAGGGTTCCTTTAAAGGGGTCTATAAGGGCACTATAGGACTATAGGGTTTAGGGTTGAGGGGTTTAGGGTTTAGTAAGTAGGTAGTAAGTAGACTTATAAGTACCCTAAAAGGGACCCTAATTGGGGTTATGGTACTTATAAGTCTTCAAAATAACCAGTTACTAAGTCCCCCGACCTTCCAAGCAATATCCTCCCATCTTCAAGGTTATAACTTGATTTAGGGTTTGGGGTTTGGGGTTTACGGTTTAGGGTTTTGTGTTTAGGGAAGTTATAACAGAAAGAATTTGGGGCCACGGTTTGCTGCTACATATGTATAGCACAGAACACTTCAGTGCCCCTTTGATGCAGTCCGACCATACGTGCAAGCTGGGGGTTCATTGCCTGTTGTGGCCAAGCAACTCGTGTGCGATCCGTAAACTCAAACCCTCCCCAGTCGAATCACGCAAACCTACTTAAGGGCCCCTGGCACTTAGTAAGTCGGGTTAGAATTGGGGTTATAAGTGGGCCAAGTAGGGTTATCCTTATTATATCCCTACGCATAACCTGATTACTAGGTCCCATGAGCCCTTAAGAAATCTCGAAGTCCTAGACCCTGAACCCGGAACCATATATGCCCAGTATGAACACCGCAAGCCCTGAAGCCCTGGAACCCCCGACTCTCAGGAACAATGCAGTGGTTCTGCACAACATGGGCCTCTGTGCCTTCAAGCAGGGCAAGCGCCGAGAGGCCGCGCATCAATCAACATGGGGCCTAAGTAATCACTTACATTTCTAAAGCCTTAATCCCTGCAAGAGCCACCACACCGATAACACTATCGGGGGCCTGAATGTTTATAGGTTCGAGATGACTCTGATATGGCAACATCGGAATATCACAAGGGCATATTCGTATGAGCTATTCCCGAAAGGCTTGTAATTCTGAGCCCTAGAAACCATGAACCTTAAACCTTACACCCTAAACCCTAAAAGCTCAAGCTCTAAATCAAAAACCTAAACCCTAAACCAAAATCCCTGACCAAGCGGTGAGCCCTAAACGCCAGACTTTGAAAGAACATAAGAAAGCCCCGGGCTGAAGTTTACGGTACTTACCGCAATTCTGTCTGGTTCTTAGTAGGGAACGGGGGAATGGATTATGGAGACCATCAATTATTAGGCATTATATAGGGACTACTATAGGGATCCATGCCCCTATTCCCTACTCAGCACCAGACAGGATTTCACCTGGCAACGCGCCACAAGGAGTTTAAATTGGGGAAGTAAGCTACTGAAGGGTCCTTAATAGGAATCATATAGGTGACTTGAAGAGGACGAGATTACGAATAGTATTCTACCAAAACCTACCTTTTTGTTTGGTCTTTCTTGGCTTTCTATATTTGGGTTTAAACTGAGAATTTACGGTAGTTTACGATGGGTTTAGGGGTTATAGTGGCTTCAGGGTTAAGGATAAGGGTTTCCGTGGCAACGAATCCAAGGACCCAAAGGCTTATCTACAAAACGAGCAGTCCTAAACCCAAAAAACTTAATAATTGGGTCTTTTAACCCCTAGTCCCTTAGGGTTTTTAGGCCCTAAACTTTGGCCCTAAACCTTAAATCCCAAACTCCATAAACCCTAAGCCCTTAGGGTTTTAACTCCTTGGATTTCGGAGGCGATGGTAAAAGGAGGGACCCTTAATAAGGACCCCTAGGTATATACCTTTAATATAGCTAGTATATACCCATTACATAGCCCACTATAGGGTAGGGGTCCCCATTACGGGTCCCTCCTCTCTTTCTGAGGCGATGGATTTCTACCGTGAAGCGCAAGGAGCTTACGAGCCCCTCAGATCGCCCTTCAGTCGCTGCGCGTGTCCCTAGGGTTGATGGGTCCTTAAAGGCATAGTTGTCACAATTATGGTCCCTTTTTGGGTACCCGAATAGGGTTCTTGAAGGGCTCCTTAAACGTTTCTATAGGGTTCCTTAAAGGGATCTATGGGGTTTAGGGTTTAGGGTCTACTTGGAGGGGCAGGGGACTTAGTAAGTAAGGTTATAAGTAGGTTATAATTAGGATAACCCCACTTAGGGGACTTATAACCCCAACTATAACCCACTTACTAAGTCCCATGATCCTCTAAGTAATCAGGTCAGTCCTCCTCGGGGCAGAGGCGCCGCAGTATGCCGAGCTTCTTCGAGCTTCCCGGCCTAGGGACTTTCCTAAGGGTCCGAAGGACCCAATAATTAGGTACTTGGATTTAAGATAGTAGTTATGCAGGCTACAATTTTGGAGAGCATATGAAAATTAGGGAATTATGGACTCAGAGACCCCAATATCCCTTAATTCAGGAATATACCTTAAATTATAGAGGCCTTAATGTTACTTGGGCCCTAATAAGGGCTTTGGTTTTTCGGGTTTAGGGATTTAGGGTCTGCGTGGCAGGCTGGGGATGGCGCAGGTTAGGACCGCTAGGGTTTAGGCTCTACCCTAAGGCTCCTGGGACCCTCGCAAGTGAGATCCCAAACCTTGGCCCCCAAAGCCCAAACCCTTCCCCCAGGGATTCCATGACCCCTTTCGGAGCCTTTGGGTAGGGTCTATAGGGTTTAAGGAGGGGTTTCTGCCAAAGTTTTCTACAAGGTTGGCAAGGGTTAGGGTCTTTTTCTAAAACAACAAAGCATCGATCCGATGATTCACAGGGTAAATAACCCTAGAATCCCTCAGCCCTGAAACATAAGCCTCAGAGGAGTTCGATGTGCTCGGGAGACAGTACAGATCTCTTTCATGACCCTGAGCCGTCGTGTAGTTGTTTGTATTTTACATGTAGTTCATCTGCATGTGATTCGCTACTGGATTGTTACATGACTGCATGCATAATCAAACATAAGTAGCCGTAACCCGTGAACCCCGGAGCCCTAACCCCTGAACCCCAAGCCTTACATCCTTCACAAGCCCCAACCCTAAACCCTGAAAATCACCAAGCCCTACACCCTAAATCCCTTACAAGCCGGAATCCCAAAGAGAAGGACGGCCTAAACCGGTAAGCCTCACTTGAAGGATCATGGGACTTAGTAACTCGGGTCATAAGTAAGGTAACTATACTAGTAACTATTTATAACACCAATTTAGGTACTCATATCCTTACTTACTACCCAAAGGCTCCGAAAGGGGTCATGGGATCTCTGGGGGAAGGGTTTGGGCTTTGGGCACTACGAGGGTCCAGGAGCCTTAGGGTAAGTTCCATGATCCTCCAAGCAAGGACATGGATGACGCCGAGGATGCCGAGCTGCGGCCGTTGGAGTCGTTAGGCCTCTGGGGCTGCAAGGCTTCGCCCTACCCTAAACCCTAAACCCCAAACCCTAAACCCGAAAACCCCAAACCCTAGACCCACCTTCCCTCTGGGAGTTAGGATTAAGGGGACCCTTGGAGACATAGACCCTCTCAATAAGGCCCCTTTTAAGAGAGCCAGAAGTAGGGTTCAGAAGGGGTGCCCTTTAAGGGGTCTCCCTAGTCATACTACCTAGAGGCTCATACCCTACCCCTCTTTTAGGGCGTCTACTTTTTAAGATAACAGTTCCTAACCATAAAACTAGGTATCCTAGAAAAAGGGGTAGGGTATAAGCCTCTAGGTAGGACTTCAAGTATGCAAGCCGGGACTTTCCCAAACTGAGGGACCCTAATTAGCCTAAATAGTAGGATCTTCTTTGTCAAGACCCCCCCCCCAAGTTTCGGAAAAATCCCTAAACCCTACACCCTGTATCGAAGCCTTATAACTTATAATAGATCCCTTCAAGGAACCCTTCAAAGGATCCCCTCAAAGGAACCCTAAGGTACCCCTTAATTTTCGGAAAAATCCCAGGAAGAACCGACTCCGGGGTCTAAAGTCTGTGAATGGTACCTACTTTGCGCTTAGGGTCGAGCTTGGAGTGTCTTCACTTTTAGGATCAATAAGTCTAGATCTCAGAAGTTGTTCCAATAACAATAACAGCAAACTGATGACAGTATCAATCGAAATGCTAATGGTAAGAATTCGTGAAAACAGCAAATTCATGAACAGAGTTTCAATATTGAGCTTTGTAGCTAATTCACAATGATACGTGTTTCATGCTTCTCGTACATAGGGTTACTATGTCGGGTGACTGCTCTCAGGGTTTCGAGTTTACATGTTAGGGTCTCATGCAGGGATTTGGTATTTGGGGTTGACAAACCGTAAGTCGCCTGGTACCTAGAGGCTCATACCCTACCCCTTTTTTAGGTTACCTAGCTTGTCTCAGCCTTAATCCCTGCATCCCGACCAGGACTTTTCATTTGCCCATGCACGGGAAGCGGAGACTATACTGTACTTTATGTACTTTACCCACAAAGCGAAATCCCAAACACTAGACCAGCTCCTTCGCCACTTGCTTCCTCAGGTGGCATGGACTAGTGAGCATCGCAAAGTCTCACTGCCGCAGTGCGAGGTTAAAATGACGGCAGCAGAGACGTCCCCACCACTGAGGGTTGACTCCTTCCACCGATGATCAAAGCCCCACACACCCTTGTAAGCTCCGATGCTCCGAGGATAGGTGATTCTCCAGTTGGGTTCAGGGTATAGAGTGGGTTTTAGGGGCTGGGGCTTGGGGTTTGCGTCAGAGGTGGTAGGGCAATTATGGGTTGTGGGGTCTGGTGGCAAAGGTTTTGTGGGTGCTTGGGGTCGTGCTTGTAGGATCATGTCACGTAGTAACTAGGGGTATAAATAAGGTAACTATACTTATAAATACTTATAACCCCAATCAGGGCACGTATCACCTTACACTTACTAAGTCCCCTGATCCTCCAAGTAGCCCCTATACCCTAAACCCTATAGATTCTTACATGGCCAGCTACATTCAAGCAGCAACGCGAAATCTGTCAAGGCTTTAGGACTCATGGTTTAGGGTTTGGGTTTTAGGGTTTTGGGGTTCCTTTAAGGGTTGGTCTATAAGGATTACCCCAAGGGTCCAAAGGAACCAATGATTAAGTACTCGGGTTTAGGATAGTAGTTATGTAGGTTAGGATTTGGGAGGGTATATGATTATTAGGTACTTGGACAGGGGTCATGGTTTAGGGTTTAGGCTGTAGGACTCATGGTTTAGGGTTTACAGGCTTTAGGATTCATGGTTTAGGGTTGAGGCCTTAAGACTCATGGTTTAGGGTTCAGGACTCATGGTTTAGGGTCTAGGGTCAACGGTTTTGGGGGTGCTTCAAATATTTTAAACTGCTTCCAGCCGATACCCTGAAACCCTGAGCCATCCTGAGGCCCAAAAGCAATCCCCCTGAATCCTCCACCCCAAACAGTAAACCCTATAAGCCCCTGAGCTTTAAACCCCCGATTCCTACAACTCGGGCCCCCGACCCTAAACCCAGGGATTTTTCGGCTCGGCAGTGTAGAAAAAGTTGTGACTGGGAGCCTTACAGGAACCGCGAGGAGCCCCCTAAACCCCGCCAAGGTTTATGGTTTAGGGCTCCAAGCCTACTTAAAGGATCATGGGACTTAGTAACTAGGGTTATAAATATGGTAACTATACTTATACTTACTTACAACCCCAATTAGGGTACTTATAACCTTACTTACTAAGTCCCCTGATCCTCCAAGTAAGCCCCTCTAAGGCCTGAGGCCCACCTAGAGGCTCCAGGTACAGTACCATTATGGAACTAGGTCCCTAAAGCCCTGATAAGGATGGTCTTTTGGGGCCTAATTCCATAATGGTAGAAAATGTTGAGCCTTATACCCTAAACCCTATAGAACCCTCAAAGGAACCATTAAAAGGACCCTTAAAGGAACGTTGAAAAGGACCCTTAAAGGAGCCCTTTAAGGGACAACTATAAGTCCCTCTAAGGCCTAAGGCCTACACTCTGGGGCAGGTGGAAACCCTAAAGCCCTAAAACCCTAAAGCCCTAACCCTAGAACCCTAAAACCCTGAACCCCAAAACCCTAAAGCCCTAAACCCTAAAACGCTAAAACCCTACATAAAGCCTACACTGGGGCAGGTGAGAGTCGCCAAATCAAGCAGCGGGGCGTCTACGCCATCACCGCCTTCTTTTCGATCTTCGCGCACCCCTGGTGAAGCTTAGGGTTTCAGGGGGGGATTTAGGGTTCCTTTAAAGGGATCTATAAGGGTTCCTTTAAAGGGATCTATAAGGGTTCCTTTAAAGGGATCTATAAGGGTTCCTTTAAAGGGATCTATAAGGGTTCCTTTAAAGGGGGTTTAGGGGTTTAGAGGTTTGAGGGTTTTAGGGGTTAGGGTTTAGGGCTTTACGGGTTTAGGGTTTAGGCGTTTATGGTGGAGGTAAAGGTCTTTTTCATGGTTTCAAGCTGAAGGTCTAGTTTGGGTTTCAGGAGATAGGGTTCAAGTTTCAGGATTCAATTTTGCAGTGAGGTGAGTAGGTGAGTAGTAGACCCTTTCTGATTAAGCACCATGAAGCACCCTTCGGGTATAACCTGGGCGTATTTTGGGGTCTGGTTCTAGGGAGTTAAAGATTAAGGTGGTCGTGGATATCGCCTGGACGGATTTTGGCGTTTTGGGTTTACGGTTCATGATTGAGGCTTAATCGTGAGACTTTGAGACTTGCAGAGGTTTTTTGCTGCTCCGAGGTGTGGGTGGAGCTTTCCGGAATATACTATAGGCTCAAGGGGTGAATCTCTGGTTGTCTGGGCTCTTTTTCAGGATTTTAATTTAAGTTGCCACAATAGGGGTCCGTAGTAGCTAGTATTGTTTCTTTGTTAAGTTAATTTAAGATAAAGCCCTTAACAAGAAAATAGATTGCTTGCATATCTGGACATTTAGAAAGAAGGGTCGCCTGGTTTACACCGGCCTATGCAGCAACTAGACACGCGAAACATGCATACACTCATACACACACACAGATACGGGCATGCATTGAACTCAAAACCAAGTCTGGCTAGAGGTCTGAGCAATCTGTACCAGTTTCCCCTTGTAGGCCACATGGAAAATATTATAAGGTTCGCCACAAACACTTCTCCAACTAGTATTAAGGCTGCGCCTATCTTGCTTGTCGACTTTTTGGTTCAAGCGCGATGGCGCAGGCCATCTCCCCAGGTGTCTTGAACAAATCTTTCAGGATCTTTACCTCTCCATAATGGCAGGACATAAACTGTGAAATCATGGGTAGTTGTCGAAAGTCGGGTTTAGGGTTCAGGAGTCTTTGCGCAAAGCATGACAAACCTTTGAAAAACCCTGTAGATAAACCTCTTCCGTCCACAACAGGGAAGTGCCAAAGAACTCTAGACCCCAAATGCGAAAGCCTCAGCCCGAAACCGGAGCCCACACCAATTACAACCCCCATAGACATCCTTTCAAGGACCCTAAACCCTACAGAAACCCTGTAAAGGAAGCCCTGTAGAACCCTTCAAGGACCCCTTTTGAAGGAATCCCTACAGAAACGCTCTACCGGAGCCTAAGCAACATGGGCGCGGCGCAGTGCTGCTCACCTTTGGAGGGTCCTTCCGAGAGTTGCACCACCATTGGCCCGCCCGTGCGGGAGCTGCGCGGGAAGCTGGGTTCGTGTTAAGGAACACCAGGTTACCATAATAGGGATCTATACTTAAGGGTTCCTTTAAGGGATCTATGAGGGATTATTTTAAGGGCTTAGGGTTTAAGGTTGAAGTTACCATAATAGGGCTCTATAGGAAATACTCTGGTTTCTTTATTATGGTAACTTATACGAACTTCCTCAACAAGAGCACAGGAAGCGCCGGGGTGCCTCCGAGGACCTGTTGGTGCCCTTCTCTGCAGGACGCGTTGTCTGTGATTGCAACGACCTGCTGTTTCCTTTATCATAGTTGGATAGCATTTTACATTTTTATGGGTACTTAACACCAATAAGAAATAAGAAAATGACATGTTTCATCCTATCCCAACCATGAACTAGTTAGTTTCGACAAAGTATAGCATACAGGAATATTACGGAAAGGACTATGTGCCTTAGCCTCCCAAACCTCATTATGAACCCTAATATGCAGTTTACAGGGACCCTACAAAAAAGTAGGGTTTGGTAGGTTAAAGTACTCTTGCTAGAGTATTTACGGGTTTCTCGAGTCGGCGGGAAGGACGGGAGGTCCATGCGCAGCTCTACGATGTCCGGCTCTCTTTAGTGGACAGTCGACTTTGGCAGCAGTTGGCTCCAGGGGATTCTGTGGAACCTTTGCCGCGGTTTACGTAGGGTTTAGGGACTATTTGGTTGTGGTTTGCTCGGTTTAGGGTTTAGAGTTTTAGGGTTTAGGGCTGATAGAGTTTATGGCGCTGCTTAAACCCAACGCTTAGGCTTTACCTGAACCCCTGGGACACCTACCCTTTCAGGCTTTCTTTGTGGCTTCTTAGGGATACTTATCAATAGTTTTTAGTTTTTGGTTCCTGTAATCTCTAAGAACAAGCTAAACTTCAATTTTTGCTAAGGTCTAAGTTCAGTATAGACTTGTTAAATAAGTCCGTCTTAGAGATAGACAGGTAGGTTATTTGGAGTTTTTGGTAGGGTTAAGGGTTGGAAGCTCGGCAGCGAACGAAGAGGGTCCGCAGATGCTACTACACGGACTTGGGTCCACCGATGCCATGATTAGACTGGTCTTGCGGGGTTTAATTCCACAATGCTAGTATTCTTTAATGGTCTTGCGAGGCGTAATTCCACACTGCTCGTTTCTTTGAACCCCTAATCCCTAAACCCTAAACCTAAAACCCTAATCCCTATAAACCCTAAACCTAAAACCCTAATCCCTAAACCCTATAAACCCTAAATCCTACGCCCTAAACCTAAAACCCTAATCGCTAAACCCTAAATCCCTAAACCCTAAACCCTAATCTTACTAAGAGTTCAGACTCTGTAGAATTCCACTTTAGCTTACAAAAAACCTACTTTTTTGTATGTTCTGATTATCAACCCTAATATGGGTTTTATAGGGACCCTACAAAAAAGCAGGTTTTGGCGGGTTAAGGCATAGATACCTGGACCCTAAGGAACCTGCCTTTTTAGGGTTCCCTAATATGATTTCATTTATATAAGTCCTAAGTCCTTAAAAAGGTAGGTTACTTGGGGTTAAGGTACCCCTTAATCAAGGAGTTTGCTTTAAACCATAGTATCAAGGCAGCTATAACTTACGGTATGGCATATTCTCGAATTAAGGGATAGTGGGATCTCTGAGTTAGGTCCCTACAGCCATATTAAGGATGCGAGTATCTTTCAAGCCTTCGAGTAAGGAATCTTAGTTCTCCAGTACCAAACCTTTACATACATTTTTTGGGTTTGTATATTTCAGTACGGTTGATGATACAAATCCTGCATTACCCATAGTAAGGAATATACCGTGCTTCCCATACTTTAGGGTCATTAAGGTAATGCAGGGTTTATATCATCAACTGTAGGAATCTGAATTTTTAACCTTTTACTTCCCGG